CAGATACGGAACAAAATTATTATCTTGATATCTAAAAAATAAAATACGAGTGGAATATAATTTAACGTGCAATGCACTTTTTGTTTTCTTTTACTTCGTAAATGAAACTCCCCTTCGTTTATTAATTAGGCAGCAATGATCCATACTTGGCTGATTTCTTAGGAGGGGGGTTTCGGAATAAAGCCACAAAAAAAAAAAAAATTTATTTTGTTATTATTTACTTCTATGAGAGATCTCAGATAAATAAGGCCAAGCGGGTTGCACAGCACCGCACGTTGCCCCTTTAATCTGATATCTGAAGTTTAGATGATAAAAATAAGTTTAAGTTAATCCCTCCCCTTACCATCTGGCCCGGGAAAACCCTGTATAGCCTTAAGGTAGGGGAGAACAAAAAAAATAAAAAAAATATCTGAAATAAATACTTGAACAATATTAGAATGTAATTTTTTAAATTATATCGTGTATACATCTATTAAATATGTACAAGTTTCAATAAAAAATATAGGCTCTAAAAGCATTATTGTTCCTGTAATTAATTTGTTTAACAAGCTTTCATGGATTTGACTTGTATAATAACTTTCGACAAGACTTCACAAAATTTATCGATAAACTATGACCAACTAACAAAAAACTGGGTAAATAGTAAGTACATTAGATAAGGTCATCCATAATTTTCTATAATGTATTAATTTATAAAGAAAATGTACAATTATATTTACCTGTTCTATAACTTTTTCTAATTTTATGAAACTATGTTCATTGATTTTTGTATCTTTTTACTTTCATTTATAAGAAATATATAGTAAAGGAAAGTATTGCGATCGTGAAAATTTTTGAATCTCAGTTTTCAACGGAAATACACGTTTTGAAGTCCCTTGAGTACCAACAACCAATTCCCGCAAAATGGTCTGTGTTTGTGTGTTAACAGCCTAGCTCAAACACGAAAAGTCGTACGAAAGTGAAATTGCATATTTAAGGTTCTTATATGCAAGGGATGTTACAGTAACTTTTTCGTCAAAATCAACTGACCGGAAGTGGCACTTAATATCATGGGCTAAACACATTTTTACAATTTTCTCGGCAATGGCTCTAACGATTCATTTATCAGTATAAAATTAAGCAGTTTTAAATAAAATTTTTTATTCTGATTGATGTTCTAAATTACTTTTTTTTTAATTTGAAACAATTGACTATTTCACATTAATTTCTTATATAAAAGATAGTTAAATATAAAATATGAAAGAATTTGACAATTAATTACAGGAGAAATGAAAAATCGTAACGGAGAATAGTTGTAATTGATCGCACCCGAGCTAGCCCGAAAGATTATAACAGACTTCCATCCGTAACATGAGCTTAATATAATACGGACTCCGACATTATTATATAAATATACATATGCGGTATTCATAAATGCTATTGTTATTATTTAATATTTAATTGTATAGATTACTCCGATATAAATATTAAAATTTGTATATATAAGGGTACTCATACAAATAAAAATACCAACAATGAAATATAAATACTTACAGCGTCTATAATTTTTACTTTCACCTATCCTTTATCTATAAATACTTATTTCTGCTAAGAAGGTGATAAGTAAAACTTGTGTGATGCGCGCACCGCACCAGATTTTTCTTATTTATGTCCATTTTAGTTATACTTATAATAACTATCATGTTTAAATTTGATTGTGTTTGTATGGATTGTACCATAATAAACGGTCCTTTCAAAGGAAAAACAAAAAAATTAAAATAAAAAAAACTTTCAAGGAATAATTAAATATGATTTTAAATAGTTTTTTTTCTCATTTTTTCAGAGTAAATAGCGTTTAAAGAAAACAATATTAAAATAAAAAACCTGCCCTTCCTCTCCCCCAAAACAAAATCCTATATCAGCTATAATTGATAAATATTCAGACGTATAATTTGATTATAATTATCTTTAGTTGTTGAGACATTACTGAGATAATTATGAAACACTAATTATTCTTTTATTTATTTTTTATTGTCTAAGTTGAGTGGTAAAAACTTTAAACATGTTCGCATATAAATTAAATTTATGCTATTAAATACCGAATTTTTTTAATAACCATGATTTACATTTTAAAAGTAAAAACATTCTCCAAGTGAATGAATAGATTATATATCTTAGATTAATATTATAGAATAAATTTAAATAAAATAATGTATAACTAAAACGGTAAACCTTCTTTGCACGATTTAACAAGAGAGGTGAAATGGTTAGCCTCTGTCCTCCCTTGATGGTGGCAGATTGGTTTACAAAGGCCGAAGTGAACAGAAGGGCCCGCATGAAGCTAAGGGGGAACTTCCTACTGCCACCTGTGCCTGTCTATATTACATTACGTTGTCTTTTTACTGTCATCCTGTCATCATGGCCTCTTAAGGACGTTGTCTCAAATAATTGCTGTCATTTTTTTTTTTTTCTCTGTATTATAACTAAACCCTTCAAGTCGTTTCGTGCGCTTCAACATAATCTAGTGCGCTTAAATTATAGATTTAATAATAAATATATATATATAAATAAATATCTGGTGTGTCTACTCAAACGACTTTCCTACCTATTTCAGAAACGTTTTTATATCTTTACATATGTTCATGAAGAATCTATAAAGAATTGAACTAGATTTATATTCCTGAAAATTGATCAAAGAAAAGATCTCAGTACGATTTATTTGATAAACTAAAGCAATGTAAACCGACTTAAGATAGATCTGTGTATACATTTCAATATTCACTAATATTGCTGATCAAAAACTTTTTGCCATAGCTTAGTATTGTCAAACAATAATTTCTGTTAAAATTAGAGGAAATAGTGAAGCTTGTTTGATGCGGGCAACAGATTTTCTTACTTTTACTTAGTCGTCTTTTTTCTCTCATTCATCTCTTTCTGACATCAGGATATGAACCCGTAATCTTACATTGGAAATTGAACTATTTTTATAAGTTTTTTATTTTTTAGTTTTGTTGGTAATTTAATTACCTTTCAAAAGTTTATACCGTACAATATATACTTAGGGAGTTAGGCCCCATAATATTTTTCTTTTCTTTATAACTTTTTTCCTGAATTTTTTCGGGAATTTAGTATGTATTCGAAAATTGAAAGAACAATTATTAGAACATTATATGAATGTTTCATCAAAATCGTTTGAGCCGTTTTCGCGCTACAATCTATAGAAATACTTATTTTTCATTTATTGCGCATGGAGCACCGAATTTCTATCACAGGCATCAGCAGTCAAAACCCTATAAAATAAAAAAAATTAGGAACAAAATCGGTTCAGTAGTACCCGAGAAAATGTTGGTACAGACAGACAGACTGACAGACGAATAAACATGTGTTTTTCGGACTCAGAGCGCTCTGAAACGTATAGATCCGTCGAAAACCTCATATCGGAAATTTAATATATATATATATGTATATACATATGTCAGTAAACTACTGGGCCGATTGTTTTAGAATCAATGTCAAAGCTCACCCGAAGATGATCCTTGGAACTTGAACATACCATTCGATCTTGCCTTTCGAAATAGTGGTCAAAAAATGTTTATGTCAATATACACTGTAGCGCCAAAAGGTCTGTAAAAATTTTAATGAAACTTGACTAAAGTGTTCTCCTTGAAACCGTTTTAAATCTATTTATATACTTCCTCGAAAAGAATCTGAAAAAAAAGGTAACAATGAATGCAGAGTATCATTTGCGAATAACTCAAAAAAATTAATTTTTGTGTGATATTTGTAATCAAGGTATTAAATTTCCCAAAATTTAAAAAAAAAAGTTACACTGATTGTTTTAGAATCGGTGTCAAAGATCGCCCGAAGATAATCACCCGATGATGATTACACTAATAGTAAAGATATGGCGGTGTTAAAATATTTTTGGTACATTATTTTTAATAACGAGGCTTTATAAGCGACCAATAATAAAAACATTAATTGAACCATCTTAAAATTTGAAGTTTTACGTTGCAAGATACGCAGAATCCAAATATTGATTAAATTGAAAACCATCCTAGATGGAAAAATATAACGTTTTGAACTCACTGCGTAACATGCAATGCAAAGTCTATTTTTAAAAATTATTTTTGTTATTTCCTCTAGATTGTTATTTAAAGAATAGTTCAATTGTCTATTTTATTTATTTATTATTTTTAATAATCAACCTTTGTAATCGACCAACAAAAAAAAGTTAACCTCCCCCTCCCTCAAAATTTTAGGTTTTACGTTCCAAGATACCTAGAATCCGAAAATGAAATAAAAGCAATCCGTTTGTCTGCCATATACCGCCCGCGGCTTTTCTCGAAATGTACTGGACCGAATCGTTTGAGAATCGACATTAATGTCAAAGGCACCCGAGAATGATCCTAAAAATTCTGCATTACCATTTGCCCTTTCCTTTCAAGATGGCGGCAGAAAAACATGTGTCGCTATAGACTGTAGCGCCTCACCTAATATTCTGATTTTAATGAAACTTGGCAAAAGTCTTCTACACGAAGCTGTTTGAATTTGTGAGCATAGCATAGTTTACTGAAAAGTACTTTCCGATCAAGATGGTGGTTATTATTTGGAAATAATAAACAATTAAGTAATAATTTGTAGTGTTTTTTTAATGAACAATGAAAAAAATCTTAATAGTTATTAATAAATAATAAAGAAATTTTATTGTAATCACCCTAATCCACTTGTCCTCTCTATTTCCTCCTCCTTGTTAGATAGAGAGCCTCAAAGAAGACTAAAACGGCAGTGGTTTAGAGATCTGTTCACAACATAAATAATTTTCAAGAAATAGCTGACAGATCGAACGACAGCACATTTGCACATTGCAAGGCAATTGCGAAAATAATATAAAATAAATAAATAATTTGAAATTTACTATATAGACAGAAATACTTTAAGTAATAGATTTTCGTATTAGGTTTGCTGCTTATTTACTAAATATCACCGAAATATCTAGTGGCTACTTGTCCTTTTTATATTCAGTATCGTGCGCCCTCTTTGGGAAGCCGGTTGTGATGAGATGCGGCTTCGGGAGCGTGTAACTCGCTGGAGATGACACACAAAGGCTTCTGGACTCCAGGAGTCATCTTACAGTCAGTTTTCCAAGAAGCGATTTTTGTACCTCGTTGGATATATTGTGTACCGTAGCCATGGGGTGGGTTAGTGACGCTGCCGAATTTCAGGCCTATTTCGTGTAATTCTCTTCTCGACATATATGCAAAACGAAAAAAAAAAAAAAAAAGAAAGCGAAGGAAAAAAACAGAAAATAGGTTATATTAGAAGGAATGTTATATTAAACAGATGATATTTACATTGGAACAATTTTTTTTGTATTTATAAATTTGCTAAACTCAACATAATTCCTCCGCCCTCTCTCCCAGCCCGGGAAAAAAACTCGTGTGACCTAAATAGCAAGGAAGGGGAGAACAAAAAAAAAATATTCATTTTTTTTTTAATTTAACACGTTTTTATTTATTTATTTTTTGTCTCTTATTATCCCTAACAGCTGTTTGATTTAACCTCATAATACGTTTTAACTTTCCGTTTCCTTCAGTACATATTTGGATGGCTTGATGAGATATCTCTAATGAATTCGTTTTTTCTTTCTGTCCTCATGATGGCTGAATTGGCGAAACGTTGGAAGGTTAACTAATATATGTTTTTTCTCAAAGTTTTATGGTTGGTATTTAAAGTATGAAGGAATAATAACTACAGTGTATATTTTTAAATTTTTTTTTTTTTTTTTTTTTTTTTTTTTTGTCTTGAATCCTTGAATTTTCATTGTCTTCATAATAGTCCTTTTACTGCTTAAAAGCATTGTAAGGTGTATTTTTTGTCGTTTCTGAGTATTTTGTTCTCCATCTGTAATATAAAAGGTGATGGGGCTCACCTCAGGCTTAAGTTGACCTTATCCTCTAGAGCTTACAACTAAATTAATAAAACATCTATCTCATGTGATTTGTTACCAACGTTTTAGAATTTTGGCTGGTAACAAATTGTTAAAAGGAGGGTTTGCCAATTGTTGGGATTTTTCGAAAAATGATTTTTTTCGTTTTGCGAGAAATTTTTTTATTGTTGATAAATTTAGTGTTGCTTGAATATCCAATGTCTTCTTTCTCAGCATCGTGGTTCCTCTTACAATTTTTCTAATTATTCCATTTTGGAAATATTGTAATCTTTTCAGAATTGTTTTGCTGACATGTTCGAACAGAGGTGCACCATTCAACAGAGCCGGCCGTATTATACTTGTATAGAGTAAAAGATAGGTTTGTTGTCCGAATTAAATTTTGAAGTCTGTACGTCATAGATCTTGCTGTTTTAATTTTTTTGTCAAAATGTCTAGTAATTTTATATGTCTGTCGAAGTGAATACCGAGATATGTTAAGTCAGTCCATAATTTAATACCATTGTTATTAATTTTGAATTCATTTGACATTTTCTTTTTTCCTTTTTGGTATGAAAATATAATATATAATATCTTGATCAGCCAAAAAACTTTAATTTGAAGGCAAACATTTTTATTTGTCGAGTGCTACAAAACTTCGTATTTATCAATTTATTGAGGTGTGAAAAACAAATGGCTTAAATTAAGAAACTTAGCATTGTTAACGGGTCTATACGTTATTGATTTACTCTGCAAGTTGAAAATGAAATAATAGAAACAATGCCATGTTCTAAATCAAGAAACGTAACCCTATAATCCGGAGTTCGTAATTGCTTCTCCTAATAATTAAAAAAAAAAGAAACATTTTAAACTTGCTAATTTGACCGTAAGATTTCCGACCCGTTATTGGTCTCTTGGAATATAGAAAATAAAGCGTAGATGTGAGATTGTAATGGAATCTGGACGAGTGTGTGAGGGGCCAATTTGGTTGGCGGGACCGGTTTGTCTTCTCTTCCAACATATAGGGCTTCAAATCCTCTTCCTTCAGGTGTGCCCCTTTTAAATTATCTTTTTCTCCTACATCAATTCATCCGCAATGCAGGTTGTTTATAATTTTTTTTTTACTTTGTTATTGGCTCATTTCATATGAAATGTCCGTTTTTATTAATTCAGAAATTAGATGTGGAAATACTGTATTTTTATTTACTACGTTTATGTTTACAGATTACAATGAGCCGTTATCACTTCTCTATTTTTTAAAATCATTTTTACTATCATTACAATTGGTTGAACGCCGTTCAGTATGCCATCAAAAATGTCCTATCCAAATTGGGTCGGGAGGAGGAAGGAGGGTTGTTTTGAAATCTTTTATGGCAGGGCTTATGGAAGTCAAGGTTTCGCAATAATCATACTAAAAACTTTGTTATTCGGCTATCTGTTTAGGTACCACACAACTAAACCGACCACCACCGATCCATTAAAATTTGTTAAGTGTTTAATTTTCATTTATGATGATAGCGAGGGGATTGTGGAGTCGATTAATTAATCAAAAAGAGTTGTAGTCTCTCCACTTCTTTAAACTCTGCTGAGTTCATCGCTGGCAAAATAACCAAAATAACATTGGGCATAGAGTCACCTACATCTGTGTAAAGTTAGAACTTAATCTGAATATTGTATCGGGCGGGTTGAAATTTTTGGAGTATTTTTTTCCTGATTTCCGGCTAATCCGTTTGGTTAATCCTAAAAATGTATACAACAACATTTGCTAGGTTCGGGAAGTTGAATGGAATGACACCTCGAACGGGAAGATCGGACAAAGTTGACAAATGAGTATATTTTAAGCGACAACGCGTTACAGATGTTCGGTATTCCGTATTTTTCCCTTTGAGTTGTGGTAATTTTTTCCATCAGTTGAGTAGTACAACTTTTAAATGTCGCTCGCGATAGGGTAGGTTGGGATGGGAATCGAAGTAAGTAACTGCTTGACCGGAATTTCTAGACAAATTACTCAATAATTCATAACTTTGGTTCTACTCAATATTTTGTTTTCATTTAAAGCCTATCTTCGAAGTCAAGAAAACCTTAATATAATGTCAAAGTGTACAATAAGCCATTGCTGAGGTTAGCCCTGACAAAATTTCGTTGCAATGTGGACACACAGACAGACAACAATTTTTTAAAAAGTGGATTTGGTTTCTGCAACGTATGAAACGGTAAGATATAAAACAGATTGATTCTATTCAATGTACTGACAAAATCTTTATTTTATTTATATAGATTTTGGGTATTTTTATTTGTATCAGTGCAATATATTTACACCTTGTTCTTCTGTCCACTCCTTAAACATGAGATCACAACCAATGAATTTGTATATTTTTTTTCATAGACGACTTATGTTGCTCACGTAGTTGTATATCACTGAATCCTTCTAAATAGCCTTTATTATCTGTTACCTCGGTTTGAAATTAATTACTTTTCTCCATCCATTCTCCTTCCTCATTAGAACATGGTGGCTTTGAGTAATAATTATGAAATGTGTAATTTGAAAAATTATGATTATTATAAATTATTATTAAAAAAAAACGCTGCAAATTATTTCAGAATGGATTATTATTTCCAAACTATTATACATCTAAACTAATATTACCTTCCTAGTTACAAAGAAAAATAAATAAAAGGTGATTCCAATTATTGGACTAAACATTTTTTTTTTAATCATAGTAATATTCTAAAAAAAAAAAAACCTTACTTCAGTAACACATTCAAAACTTAAAACCAAAACAAAGGATATAACATTTGCAGTAGAACTTTTTTTTGTTTTTTAGGAAATTCAGTAAACTTAAAAAAAAACCATACATCAACAAAAAAGTTAAACTTTTTGAGTTATTTGGAATTGAATTTTACCATCCCTCTTAACTTTTTTTCCAGCTTCTTTTCGTTGAAGTATGTTATATAGATAAATTCGAGGGGGATGACTATAGCGAAGTTTCATTGAAACTTTCGTTTAGGTGCTATAGACTATAGCAACGCAGGTTTTTCGGTCGCCATTTTTAAAGTAAATAGCGGAAAGTAATGTCGATGAAGGAGGATCATCCTTCCGTCGGGTGACCTCTAATTTTATATATAAATTTGAAAAAAATCGGTCCAGTAGTTTCGGAGAAAATGCGCGGACGGACAAAAAAATTTTTATTCGTTTTTCGAATTCTACGTATCCTGAAACGTGAAACCTCAAATTTTGAGAGGAGGTCAAGTTTTTGAATTTTCTGGTCACAACGGTTCTTTATTGAAAATGATAAACCAAAACTGAGGTGTGTTCCTTAGACCATGTCGACAAGTCGAGATTAACAATATGAAATATAAATTGTAAATAATAGCTCATTATAAAGAGGATGAATTCCTGAACATTTACCTCGTTTCAGTTTGCAGATCTGGTTTTTAGTTTCTGAGATATTTTAATCCATATCTTCCATCAAACTCGTTGTAATTTGGTTTTCGACATATTTTTTTTTTGCATTTTCGTCTCTCTAACACGGTGTCGCGTTAAGATACAATTTTGAATAATAGTTCATTACAAAGAAGATGAAATGATGAATATTTCCCTTGCTAACAATATGCAGGTCCGATTTTCAGTTTTGAGATATTTAAATCTCTATGCAAAATCACTTTCATTAGTCGAGTCCAGCTGACTTTACCCGAGCTTTCCACGTCGGAGACCTGATAGCTCAATCTCATTTATTCTCCACAAAAAAGAAGTGCAAAGAAAGAAGTTTTCACTTCAAAAAGACTTCCATATGTATATATATATATATATATATATATATATATATATATATACATATACATCTTTTAGAAGTACATTTATTTTTGTTACTCAATTTTTGACGTAGTTGTTAGAATATATATATATATATATATATATATATATACTCTCTGGAAAGAGTCTGCGTGGGAAGCAGTATAAGGTTTTGCTTGTAGAGTAAACAAGTTAGTGAGTGTGGTCGTTCATCTAATGACGTTTCATTTATTTTGGAAAATTCTATTATTCTCCTCATAATTCATGCTTTTCCGCAAATATGTTTTTCGTATTACTTTCTTTATTATTCTCTTCCATTTCATTTCAAATGTATTTATAGAAATTCTAATAAAAATTGTTAACTAGAATTTTCCTTTCCGTGTTTTTAAAATTAGCACTCAATTTTTAAATAATATAATTAGCATTGGTTTGATGAATATTCTTATTATCGTAAAACCAAAATAAAGCCTATAGCATAGGTGTGCCCATCTTCGATGGGCGCAGGATACCTCTTTCCCTCTCTTACAATAAATTTT